CATCCCTGCCTCCGCTTCCACCCTCACCTTGCCTTTGCCGTGGCTAGGGGGCCACATGCGAACCCTACCCCTACCCTCACGATTTCTGAGGGGGAAGGGTGGGGTTCACTTCGCTCGGGAACGAAAGGGAACCCACCCCCCCTCTCATAAATCGTTGGGGGTAGGGGTAGGGTTCGCACGTGGCCCCCTGGTGGCACCGTCCCGGTCCTCCTCTTCGCCCGCGCTGCTTCCCCGCGACATGCCCTCTGCCCGCGCGGCGACGGCTCCTCGTGCCCGGGCGACCGCGCACCCTCGGCCACGCGCTGCCGCCCCACGGGCCCGCGGTGCGGGACCACCGCGCGGGGCGCTCCCGTGGCGGGCAGCGCCTGGCTCCTCTTTGGCCGCCCTCGCCAGGGTAGCCGCGACTGCCGCCAATTACCTGGGAGGGCCCTGCGGCGATCGCCGGCGATCGCCGCTCGAGGGGGCCCAGCCGCGCGCGCGCCCGCTCCCGCCGCTCTCTCGGCTCGCTCCGCTTCGTCGCCGCCCGCGCGGCCTCGACCGCCACACGCGCGGCCCGCGCGTGTCTCCCCATTTAGTGCTTTGCGCGGCCCGCCTAGCTCCTAACCTGAAGAGGCTCGTTCTCGACCCGCAGACCAACAAAAAGTGTGTGCTCTGGGCCGGCACCAGGTTCGGCCTCCGAGCCCACGCTCCCCTGCCTCCGCCTCTGGCATCTCTCTTCTCTTCTCTTCTATGTTCCCCCGCCGACACCTGGGCCCATCACCCTCTGGGGGCCCTCTTGGGCCGTCATGGGGCCCATCCTGGGGCTTCCGAGGCCAGACGGAAGCGAAAAGGCGAGAGAAGGCCCAGAACATTGATTTTCTTTTTACCTAACAGCGAAGACTGATAGGTTTCTAGTAGTCTTAAAAGAGAGCAGCAGATGACTCCACAGGGGGGTCTGGGCGGGTGCCGGACAGGGTGCCGCAGAAGTCGTTTTAAGCCAACAGTCACACACTTCGTGCTCTACGACCTCCCAGAACTCCATTCCCGGGCCACATTCTGAATGCCCGGAGCCAACTGTAGGCCACCTCGTTCTCCTTTCGACATACGCCGAGAACTCCAATCCCCTCCCTGGGGCCACATTTTGAATGCCCGGAGCCAACTGTAGGCCACTTCGTGGTCTTCGAGTCCCAGAACTCCATTCCCGGGCCACATTTTGAATGCCCGGAGCCAACTGTAGGCCACTTCGTGCTCTTCGAGTTCCCAGAACTCCATTCCCGGGCCACATTTTGAATGCCCCGAGCCAACTGTAGGCCACTTCGTGATCTTCGAGTTCCCAGAACTCCATTCCTGGGCATGATTTTGAATGCCCGGAGCCAACTGTAGGCCACTTCGTGTTCTTCTAGTTCCCAGAACTCCATTCCTGGGCCACAATTTGAATGCTGAGGCAGGCTGATGCTGCGGCCGAGGCAGGCTGAGGCTGAGGCAGGCTGAGGCTGAGGCCGAGGCTGAAGGCAGACTGAGGCTGAGGCTGAAGCAGGCTGAGGCTGAGGCTGAGGCAGGCTGAGGCTGAGGCTGAGGCATGCTGATGCTGAGGCAGGCTGAGGCTGAGGCTGAGGCTGATGCAGGCTGAGGCTGAGGCAGCCTGAGGCTGACGCCGAGGCTGAAGGCAGACTGAGGCTGAGGCTGAAGCAGGCTGAGGCTGAGGCTGAGTCAGGCTGAGGCTGAGGCAGGCTGAGGCTGAGGCTGAGGCAGGCTGAGGCTGAGGCTGTGACTGCGACTGCCGTTGCCACTGCGACTGTCATCGCGAATGCGACTACGACTGCGAGAACAGCAGAATTCTACAACTGGATTTTCATCTGAATCTTAAGGGGAATGCTTCCAGATATGCTTCTACACATCGCTGTTAGGTTGCTTTGCCGGGATAATCATTTTTGAGCGAGGGCACTTGAAGCCTTCTTGGAGCCGTCTTGGGGCGTCTAGGAGGTATGTCGGAGGCTGTATTGAACCACGATGAAGCATCTTGGATTATCTTGGAGGCCATCTTGGGCCCTCTGAGGCCCTCTTGGCGCCGTTTCGGGCCATCTTCGGGACTAACGCCTCGCGGCTCCCCCTCGCAGGCCCGGGGGGTGGGGTAGAGAAAAGGGTCAAGACCCCCTCCCCGCCCGCAAGCCGTATCGCTCACTCCCACCCGCCCTCCCAACACATACGTAGCACCCGAGTCTGGCCCGAGCCTTCGCATATTCAGCAGTCGTCTTTGGATGGGCAGATACTGGGGGCCAATCCCCCGTCGCTGCCAGCCGCCGCCCCCGCCGCGACCAGACCGCCGCTCCCCGCCGCCGCCGCCGCCGCCAGCCGCCAGCCCGCCGCCGCGCCGCCGCCGCCGGCGCCTGCCGCCGCCGCCTGCCGGCCGCCGCCGCCATCCGCCGCCCGCCGCCATCCGCGGCCGCCGCCGGCCTGCCGGCCCGCCGCCGCCGCCGACCGCCTGCCGCCGCCGCCGCCGCCCGCCAGCCGCCCGCCGCCTGCCGCCCCCCCCCGCCCGCTGCCAAACCGCCGACCGCCGCCGCAGCCGCTGCCGGCACCCGCCACCGCCGCCGCCGCGCCCCGCAAGCCGCCGCCGCCGCCGCCGCCGCCGCCGCCGCAGTCGCCGCAACCGCCGCAGCCGCCGCCGCAGCCGCCGCAGCCGCCGCCGCCGCCGCCAAGTGTACTCTGTCTTGTTTTTTGACAGGGATGGTGAGGGGGGGGCCGCATCGGTTTGGCTGCGCATGTTCCGAATTTGGAGGCAGAGTGTGTTTTGTACTTCCCCACATCCTGAGTGGGGTTCTTGTTTTCCCAGAACACCCTCTCCTTCCCACCCACCTCCCGCTCCATCTTCCATACAGCACAATATTATTCCTACCACACACACCATACCATACCATAGTTCCTACCACACATACCATACCAAACCATACCAAACCATACCATACCATACCAAACCATACCAACCCATACCTACCATACCATACATGGTTTCGTGCCCCTGCCCACCCCTCCAGGAGTCCCCCGCCATGAGCGAGGAGGGAATCGGAATACCAATACTATTAAGCATGGTTCGTGCCCCACCCACCCCTCCAGGGAGCCCCGCCTGAGCGAGGAGGGAACAATTCGGGAAAACCATACATTATACATGGTTTCGTGCCCTTCCCACACCCTCCCAGGGAGGCCCCGCCTGAGCGAGGATGGTAATCCCGGGGAAACCAATACTATTACATGGTTTCGTGCCCCTCCCACCCCTCCAGGAGGCCCCAGCCTGAGCGAGGAGGGTAAAAACGGAATAGCGCCGGCACAGTCCACAATGGTCCCAGCCACATCCTGAGGATACCTTCGCCTGAGCGAGAGGGTATCGTAAAACCATAACTATTTACATGGTTTCGTGCCCCTCCCCCCCCTCCAGGGAGGCCCCGCCTGAGCGAGGAGGGCATCGGAATACCATACTATTTACATGGTTTCGTGCCCCTCCCACCCCTCCAGGGAGGCCCCGCCTGAGCGAGGAGGGTATTCGCATCACCTGTTATTTATCAGGTTTCGTGCCCCTCCCACCCCTCCATGGAGGCCCCGCCTGAGCGAGGAGGGTATTCGCATCACCTGTTATTTCTCAGGTTTCGTGCCCCTCCCACCCCTCCAGGGAGGCCCCGCCTGAGCGAGGAGTGTATCGGAATACCATATTATTTGCATGGTTTCGTGCCCCTCCCACCCCTCCAGGGAGGCCCCGCCTGAGCGAGGAGGGTATCGGAATACCATACTATTTACATGGTTTCGTGCCCCTCCCACCCCTCCAGGGAGGCCACGCCTGAGCGAGGAGGGTATCGGAATACCATACTATTTACATGGTTTCGTGCCCCTCCCACCCCTCCAGGGAGGCCCCGCCTGAGCGAGGAGGGTATCGGAATACCATACTATTTACAGGGTTCGTTTGCCCCTTCCCCCCCTCCAGGGAGGCCGCCTGAGCGAGGAGGGTATCGGAAAACCATACTATTTACACGGTTTCGTGCCCCTCCCACCCCTCCAGGGAGGCCCCGCCTGAGCGAGGAGGGTATCGGAATACCATACTATTTACACGGTTTCGTGCCCCTCCCACCCCTCCAGGGAGGCCCTGCCTGAGCGAGGAAACCACCAACGCCCAGAGGGCTGGTGGGATTGAGAGTCTCACGAAACCGTTAATCTCTTCATGTGGGGAACTCCGTTAGCATAATTCTTTTTACAAGGGATGGTGGGGGGGTGTCGTCATGGTCCCTGGTTGGCCCCCGGTCGCCTGGGGGAGGGGGTGTTTATTAATAGGGAACAGTGAAAAACCCATCCCCCGAGCAGGGAAAGGAGGGATGTTGACAGAGAGAAGACCACAAGTGTTCAATCACCTACGCCCAGAGGGCTGGTGGGATTTGTGTCCCTCTTTGGCCTTTCCTCAGCTTATCCACGACTCGGCGGAGGAACTATCAATGGCGGCCCGCTCGCAGACTTGGCAGTTTGGACCGTAATTATCCTCCCTCTTCTCCTCCCTCTTCTTCTCCTCCTCCTCCTCGTCCTCCTCCTCCTCCTCCTCCTCCTCCTCCTTCCATAGCTTGAGGTGACGGCGTCGCTGGCGAACGCACCTGTTCTGGTTGCCGCGAGATTTCCTCATGAGGGTGCCGGTTTGTTGTCTTGGGAGCCTGTGGCCGTGTCGGAGGGATTGGGGACATGGGGGATGAGTGGATGTGGAGGAGGAAAAGGATGGAGGAATGACGATAACGGGGGGGGAGGAGGAGGAGGAGGAAGAGGAGGAGGAGGAGGAGGAAGATTTCCAGGAGGCGAACGAGCACGACGAGGAGGTAGGAAGAGGGATGGACCAAGGTAAGGAGGAGGAGGAGGAGGAGGAGGAATCCTTCCCCCTCTCTCTGACTTCTCTCTTCTCTCTCTCCTTCTCTCTCTCTCTCTCCCTCTCGCGTATCTTTCTCTTTATCCATATCTCCACATCTGAGTTCCCCTCTCTCTCTCTCTCTCCATTTCTTTTCCTCTGTCTCTGTCTCTTTCTTTCCCTCTCTCTCTCTCTTTTGTCGCTTTCACTCTCTCTCTCTCTCTCTTTTTCTCTCTCTTTCTCTCTCACTCTGCTCCCGTATCTCGTCGGTCGCCACACCAGTCTCAGGCGAAGCGGACGTCCCGCATGCCACTGGCGCATGGGCGGGGGACTGGCTGGACCGCGGGGACGTGCCCGCGCCCTTTGGTGGTGGTGTAGGCGCTCTCGCCGCGGGCTTCTGCTTCCCTTTCTGCTACGTGGAGGAGGAGGCGGAGGCGGAGGCGGAGGCGGAGGAGGGGGAGGAGGAGGAGGAGGGGGAGGAGGAGGAGGAGGAGGAGGAGGAGGAGGAGGAGGAGGAGGAGGAGGCGGAGACGAGGAAACGGAGGATCGAAGAGGGGGAATCCAGAGGGGAGGGAGGGGAGGAGGAGGTGGAGTAGGAGGAGGAGGAGGAGGAGGAGGAGGAGGAGGAGGAGGAGGAGAGGAGGAGGAGGAGTCGGAGGAAGGAGGAGGAGGAGTCAGAGGATCGAGGAGGTGGAATCGAGGAGGAGGAGGAGGAGGAGGAGGAGGAGGAGGAGGAGCGCCACAGCTAGCAGAGGAGGCCGTCCGAGTCAATGTACAGCACACCGAGACCAAACAGCCTGGCTTCACGTCGCCAAGCTCTCCGCGCTCGGGGGCGTGCGCGCCCCCCGCCCGACTCCTGTCGGGGACCCGCTGCCCGAGGGCCTCGGGCCTCCGCGCGGTGGGAGTATCCAGACGGGGCGAGTTCCCTCAGCCTTGGTCGTCGCTTTTCTATTTACCCAGGTCCTCAGTCGTTGGTCGTCGTTTTTCCCTTATCCTTGGTCGTCGTTTTGTTCCCTATCCTTGGTCGTCGTTTTTTCCCCATCCTTGGTCGTCCTTACCTATCCTTGGTCGTCGTTTTTTCCCTTATCCTTGGTCGTCGTCCCTTAGCCTTGGTCGTCCCTTATCCTTGGTCGTCCTTGGGCCGTTGACAGTGCATATTTTTGGGTTCTCAGATTCCAGTCTGCTTTTTAGGCGCTCTCCTGCTTCAGGGTTCGAGCGGTGTTCATTTCTGCCCTTCTCTCTTCAGGGGGGCAGGCGGACACCCGGTCCACTTCCGGCGCCTTCCCACTGCATGCTTCTGCCCACTTCTTCCGACCCATGGGTGTTGCTTCGCCGAAGGGCGTGGGCCCCCGGCCCCCCCCCATTCCCCCCCTCCATGGACCAGATTTTGGCTGCTTCGGGCAGCTGGCGTCTGGCGAGTGGTCAAGGCCCCTCTCCCCCAGCCTGCATGCGCGACTGGTAGAAAAAGAGATCGGCGCAGCACCAGCCCAGACCCAGACCCCCCCCTGCCCCACCCCTCTGCCAAATGTCGAAACCTGGAAGAAAAACAAACACCTGACACGGTCGACGCCACACCCGTGGGCAGTACACGCCGGTCGTCGGAAGCAGGTATTTTCGGATGCCCAGATCCCAATCTACCTCTAGACCCTCCCTACTTCGAGAACCGGCATGGTCCTGACGTGTTTTGTTCTTGTCTGGGAGGCCTGCACCCAATCTACGTAATCCGCCCTCATGTCTTCACCTACTGCCGACCGACGGGTCCTGGGAGGGGTCCCAGGGGAGGGGCAGCGTCGAGGCCGAGCACCGCGGCCAGGAGCTCCCGAGCGCCACCCGACCGCGCGGCTGCGGCCCCCCCCCCACCCGGGCGCCGCGACGCGAGGGGCGCAGACCGAGCAACAGCCAAGCCGACTTGCCCCAGCGCGCGATCCGATTCGACGCGATGCGGTGCGCCGGCTGGGGCCGCGATGCCGCTTCGATTCGATGCGCTTCGAATCACCGGCCTCGCCCGGCTTGGGCGCGTACGGCAATCGGCAGAGAGGGGGGTGATGATCAGGGCGGGGTGGATATCACGGCGGGGGCCATGATGTTTGCCCAGATTTCGTGGGGCGTCTCTTTACTTCACTGCGTCCCCTGGACTCCCCCTGGGCCGCGCACATGCCGCTGGCCATGATTTGCGCCCCCCCCTCTCGGACGCCCCCTCTTGGACGCCCCCGAAGTCAGCATTCCAGAAGGGCGGAGTAGGGAGGATCAGTTCTCGACCACGACACGAGAGGCCATCCACGCCTTTCTTCTTCAAGGGCTTTGTGGAAGTCGATTAAATGGAGAGGAAGCAGGCTGCCAAATTATTTCCAGATGTCTAAATAATGTTTCAAACCTGTTTTTTGGAATCTGTAAAACGATGCTTGAAACATTTTTAGAACATGCTTTACACGTTGTGAACTCGCTTTTTAACTCAATGACAGGATTGTTGGAGCTGTCACTGCATCCGCGACAACGCCTGCGGCACTCCTCGTCCCGCCCACGCGGGCGCGGCCCTGCCCGCAGTGGGGCCGCATGGACGCCCGCTCGCTCCCCAGGAGAGGGCCCCTCGCCCAGCGCCCGCCAGAGCCGGGCGCGGCGCCCGGGCCTCGCTGCGGGGGTCGGAGAAAACGACTCGCCGGCGGCGCGACCCGCTGCCGCGTCGCTCCGAGCCCGCGCTCTGCTTCGGCTCGGCTCTGCCGGGTGTTGCCAGCCTCGAACGTATCCCTATCCCCAAGATTGGCACGCCAAGAAAATGCGATGACAATCTCGGGGATTCGCCCTCAAGAAATGAGGGAATCCCTAAGATTGGCATCGTGATGAGGAGGTGCCCAGCATAGGGATAGGGATATGTTCCAGGCTGGTAAGCGTGGCCGACCGAGCCACAGCCCGTGCAGAGAGCGCCGAGCTCGAGTGCACCCGCGCCCCTCGCGCCTCGGCGCCCCGTCCTCGAGGCTGCCCTCGCCGTGGAGGCCCTCGCGTCCGCCTGGGCTCGCCTCGCCTGCACCACCGGCACCACGATGCCGAGCGTCTCGCGCCTTCGGGCCTCACGGCGTGCAGAGCACTATGGGCTCCTGGAGGGCCCCCATCGGGGCCGCTCACGCCTGCGGCCACTTGCGAACCCTGCCCCTGCGGCTCCTATCGACGGTGGGGCATCGGACAGCGCGTGCTTTTTTTTTTGGTTTATTTGTTTTGGTTTCTTGGGGATCCTTGGCTGCAGGACCATTGTCGAATTCTGGACACAGCTCGGCCACGTGCAGGGGAGGGGTGGGGGGAGGGGGGAGGGCTTCTTAGAAGCACCCCCTCTGCTTCTTAGAAAGGCGCGGCATTCTTATAGATGTAAGGCTGGCCGCCTTCTGAGAAGAGACCTCCTCCCTAAGAAGCCCCCCCCTCCCTCCACCCCCTTGTGCGGGCCGCAAAACAGCTTTTTCAGAGATCTCAGCTGACTTGTGCAGGGTTCACACTCGTGGTCGCCTATCGCAGGAGCCGCCACATACACTTGGCTGCGGGCCCTCCATGGCCCCAGAGGAGCCCAGGCTTTTCCTCGCTTGGCGGCCGTGCTGCGCCCAGCGCAAGGTGGGGCCAGAAACCTCCCCTGCGAGGAGGAGGAGGAGGAGGAGGAGGAGGAGGAGGATGATAAGCAGGATGAGCATGTCCTCCTCCTCCTCTGCCTGCTCTGCCACCTCTTCCCTCCCTCCTCCCCTTCCCTCTTCCCTCCTCGCTCCTCGTTGTTCTCGGGTCCTACCTCCTACTGTGCGGAAGAAACCAGTCAAGGCCGTCTTGGGCCCTTCTCCCACAGGCCCACCCTGGTCGGTCGCAGGACCGAGGAGGAGAAGGAGGAGGAAGACGAGGAGGAGGAGGAGGAGGAGGAGGAGGAGGAGGAGGAGGCGGAGGAGGAGGAACGCGCCCGCCCATGCCCGGAGATGGGGGAGGCGAGTAGACGGGCCAAGGAAGGGGGGGGGGGGTCGGGGATAGCAGGGGGAGGAGGCGTGATGGTGATGGTGATGGTGGTGGTGATGGGGATGGTGATGGGGATGGGAGTGGGGATAATAATGGTGACGAGGGGATCATGATGATGCTGATGATGATAATGTTGGTGATGTTGATCATGGCGATGACGACCATGCTGATGAGTATGATGATGATGCTGATGATGATGATTGCGGTTGTGATGATGCTGACAAGATGATGATGCTTGTTGTGGATCTTTGTGTATTAGTTGTTGCTGTTGATGTGTTTGTGTGTATGTTTGTTGTGTGCTGTGTGTGTTTAGTGTTGTGTTAGTTGTTTAGTGCTGTTTGTGTTTTTTGGTGTGTTTGTTTTTTTATTGTGTTTTGTGGTGTTGCGGTGTTGTTGTGTTGTGTTGGTGATTTTGTTGGTTTGTTGATGTTGTGTTTTGTTTTGTGTGTGGTGTGCTGTGTGTGTTGATGTGTTTTGTGGTGTGTGTGTTTGGTGCTTGCTAATGGTTGTTGGTTGTTTTGTGTCTTGTGTTTTGTTGTGTGTTGTGTGTGGTGTTAGTGTGTGTGTTTTTGTGTTTGTAGTGTGGTTTGTGTGTGTGTGTATTTATGGTGTGTGTGTTTTGTTGCTTTTGTTGTTTTTTGCTGCTAATGCTGATGATGCTGATGATGACGTTGTTGATGATGCTGCTGATGATACTGCTGCAGATGATGATGCTGATGATGATGTTGATGATGCTACTGCTGATGCTGATGATGTTGATGCTGACGCTGCTGCTGTTGATGATGATGCTGATTATGATAGCAATGATGCTGATGATGATGCAGATGATGATGTGGACGATGATGCTGATGCTGATGATGATGGTTAGATGACACTGATGATCACGATGATGGTTATGCTGATGCTGATGATGATGATGGCTGATGCTGATGCTGCTGCTGTTGATGCTGAGGATGCCGATGCTGATGCTGCGGATGATGATGATGATGATGATGATGATGATGATGATGATGATCATCATTATGATGATGATGATGATGATGCTGATGCTGATGCTGATGCTGATGATGCTGCCACCGCTGTTGCTGCTGATGGTTGTGATGATGATGATGACGATGATGATGATGATGATGCTGCTGATGATGATGATCATGATGCTGTCCACTATGATGATACTGATGTTGCTGAT